TTCTCATCTCTGCTCTTCTTTTCTCTGCTCTTCTCATCTCTGCTCTGCTCTGCTCTCCTCATCTCATCTCTTCTCTTCTCTTCTCTGCTCATCGCATCTCTTCTCTGCTCATCTCATCTCTGCTCTTCTCTGCTCATCTCATCTCTGCTCATCTCATCTCTTCTCTGCTCATCTCATCTCTGCTCTTCTCTTCTCTTCTCATATCATCTTCTCTTCTCTGCTCATCTCATCTCTTCTCTGCTCATCTCTTCTCTGCTCATCTCATCTCTGTTCTTCTCATCTCTTCTCTGCTCTTCTCTGCTGTGCTCTTCTCATCTCTGCTCTTCTCTGCTCTGCTCTGCTCTGCTCTTCTCTTCTCTGCTCTGCTCTGCTCATCTCTGCTCTTCTCTTCTCTTCTCATCTTTGCTCTTCTCTGCTCATCTCTTCTCTGCTCATCTCATCTCTGCTCTTCCTTCTCTGCTCTGCTCTTCTCATCTCTGCTCTTCTCTGCTCTTCTCATCTCATCTCATCTCTGCTCTGCTCTTCTCTGCTCTTCTCATCTCTTCTCTGCTCTGCTCTTCTCATCTCTGCTCTTCTCTGCTCTTCTCATCTCATCTCATCTCTGCTCTGCTCTTCTCTGCTCTACTCTTCTCATCTCTGCTCTGCTCTGCTCTGCTCTGCTCTGCTCTTCTCATCTCTGCTCTTCTCTTCTCTGCTCGTCTCATCTCTGCTCTTCTCTGCTCTGCTCTTCTCATCTTTGCTCTTCTCTGATCTGCTCTTCTCATCTCATCTCATCTCATCTCTTCTCTTCTCTGCTCGTCATCTCTTCTCTGCTCATCTCATCTCATCTCTTCTCTGCTCATCTCATCTCTTCTCTGCTCATCTCATCTCTGCTCTTCTCTGCTCATCTCATCTCATCTCTTCTCTGCTCTTCTCTGCTCTGCTCTGCTCTGCTCTTCTCTTCTCTTCTCTGCTCTGCTCTGCTCTGCTCTGCTCATCTCTGCTCTTCTCTTCTCATCTCTGCTCTTCTCTGCTCATCTCATCTCTTCTCTGCTCATCTCATCTCTTCTCTGCTCATCTCATCTCTGCTCTTCTCTTCTCTTCTCATATCATCTTCTCTTCTCTGCTCATCTCATCTCTTCTCTGCTCATCTCTTCTCT